TTTTTTTTTCAGCTGTTGGCTGCTGTATTTTCAGTCGTTGACTGTTGTATATTCACACATTTGTGATTTTTGATTTATAATAATATTTTTATCGTTTCGAAAATAATAATAATAATAATAATAATACTAATCTACACCAAAAAGTTAAAAATATTGCTGTAACGGGGACACTAATTGTTATTTTAGTATGGCATGAAGTCTTCTCTCACCCATTAATATTGTGGTGCTTGGCCCAGCTATAAAGATGATAGTGACGTAATATAAAATTATATAAACGGAAGTTTAAAGGAATGCATGCCTTGTCTAAATTGTCATGCCAATAACAAAATGGGACACTCATATCATATCTGGATGGGAAGTCTACTATTAGTAGTATGAATGTGTGAAGCTGAAAACGTATTAACTGCAGGTGGTGCTGATAGAGAATGATATTGATGCCAGACCATTTTCCTCTCAAGTTTTGGCATGTTTGCCACCCTTACCATGGGTTGTTTCTGCTGAAGATATAGCGAATCCCATTAGGAAAGATTTGCGCCATTTACGTGTGTTCAGTGTTGATCCTCCAGGTATTTTCTCTTTTCAGAGAATATCGTTGGTCGTCAATGCTACATCAAGACATTGCAAATAAGCCGTTCAATCAAATTTTCGGTTGGTGCAGGATGCAGGGACATTGACGATGCATTGCATTGTACACTTCTTCCAAATGGTCATTTTGAAGTGGGAGTTCGTATCCTTTCATGATCTACTTATTCTATCAAAATGCACATTTTCAGGCCTATTAATTGTCTCTAATACTCCTTTGAGATGTCATTGCAGCAGATCATTTTATCTTTTGACTGTGTGTGGTTTTGTGTTTTTGGTTTCCATCCTATTTGCATCCCTAAGAATATTAGCCTGTGAAAATGCATTTGTTTTCGTATTCTTCTTTTTCTTTGTCTTATGTATCGGACATAACGATAAATTCTTCCAATAAAAAATCTCAATCCACAATTTTGATAATGATCAGGTTGGATCAGCCAGGCTATAATAAAATTTTATCACAATTGTGTCTATTGGCTTTTAAGAACAACCTAAACGTGCAAGAGTTGTTGAGATAAACCTATCAAGAGCTATGGTGAATGATGAACTTTGTTAGGATCCATCCTTTTGTTATATTTACTGAGCTGTCATGCTGAAGATTCATGTTTTTTCATTTAAAACAAGAAGAATGATTTTTGCTATCCTGTTTTTCGTATTCTTCTTGAAAAATATTTGGTTCTGCTATCTTTCATTTTATCTTATGCTACCTAGAGCCTGCATGGAGACTGTTCCAGTGCCTTTGTTATTTTATGCAAATTATCTTTATATGGTAGATCAACCAGTGAAGGCTTAAAAAATGGACATCAATTCATTGATGAGAATGGGAATTTATAGCTTTTATGTTTATTGGCTGGTTAACTAGTTTGTTATGGACTATACAGGAAACCTAGGAATATCGCTTTACGCGTACTTCAGTGGTTGTAGCATATCACAAGGTTAAGAAATCGTGGGCATCCTGTGTTAGGAGGAGGTTTTATTTCATGAGCATGTGGAGATTTGTTCTCTATATGCTTTCGACAGCTAGAACATGACTGAGAATAGTCAGTCCCATCATTTATGGAAGTAATCATCATAATTTTTTTCATTGCTGATCTTTAATTCTGCATTAGATATTGCTGATGTGACAAACTTTGTTCAACCTGGAACCCCCTTGGATGACGAGGCCGCGCAAAGGGGTACATCTGTCTATCTTGTTGAGAGGCGTATAGACATGCTTCCAAAACCTCTGACAGAAGGTGTCCTACTTCAGTTTACTGGCTTATATATTTCCATTTGAATCTTGTATTGAGGCAAATATATAGCCGAAAGAATTAACCTGTCCTAACACCATGTTTTCTCTTTGTTAACAGATATTTGTTCATTGCGCTCAGACATCGAGAGATTAACATTTTCTGTTATATGGGTATATGCTTGTCTTATTATAATTTGTTTTAAATGGCTAATCTTTTTTTTTTTTTTTTTCTTTTTTCATTTTACTTCGAGTTTAATGCATTTCACTCACTTCAATTATGGGTCTGGGTATTTGTAAGTATTTTGAAACAATATTTTATCGTTTTAACCATTCGAAAAAGGCCATCTGCTCCGGATGTTGCTAATTTACATTTGTATTTAAAGGGTGTAATCTTGAGGGTTTATCTTGATATGCAGGTGTGTTATAGAACTAGTTTAGGTTTAGTTGTATAATTGTTTCAGAATAAATAGGACTACCAAAAGCGGGTTTTTCCCTTATTAGTAAAGTTAGCTGCCGGACATGTTTTTCTTTGTGTACTAACTTGGTTGAGCCGTTCCGGAAAGCTGGTTATCTAAGTGAGTTAGCATGAGCAGACCTAATGGAAGTATAGAACCCAAGCTGCTCCTACTAGACTGTTGCTTTGGCTGTCCATGTATCAGTTAAATTCACTACATTTTGGGTAATTATTCCTGTACTGAGGATGTAATGTTTATGCAATCTATTGAAGTTGAAATGCCCTTACAATTCCCATTTTGGAAACTTGAATCTAAATGAAAGGGAGGCTACACTTGCTTAATATTACGCCTTCATGTTATCTTTGGTTTAACACACGAAAGAAGCATTTCCTTCTGTTTTTCTCCTCCAAACCTTTCTCATCCCCTTCCCCAGTCCCAGGGGAAAATAGAAATGAAAGAAAAAATTATAATTAAATCATGTGTTATTTTTTCTTGCATACTTCAAATTATAGGCCATTAATCATTTGGTCCTCTGATATTAACATATCATTTAGGAGATGACACCCGAAGCAGAAATTATTTCCACAAGGTACACGAAGGCCATTATCAAATCTTGTGCAGCATTATCTTATGTGGAGGCTCAGGCGAGGATGGATGATAGGTAGTCATATTTTTGTTTCTTCTTTATGCTGATTTTCTCTTACGTTCTAGCCGGCAACGCCACTATTAGGTTGTTGGAATGCTACTTTTTCACTTGAAAATGTTTCTTGTCGTCTTGTTGAATACGTTAGACAATTTGTGATTTTATGCCAAGGGAGGTTTGGTTGAAATTAGGTGAACATTATAATTTGAATCCTAATATTAACAGGCTACCACTCAAAAGATGACAGTGCAGCAGTTTGAAGATTTAGTTGCATAAAAAAATTTATAGCTGCTTTTTACTTGATTCCTTGTGCTGTCGAGGCTTTTGTCTAAATATATTAATACTCAATTATTTTTTGTTTCTCTGCTTCTATGTTAAGCTTTATTGCTTCCTATTATTATTATTATTATTATTATTATTATTATTATTATTATTATTATTATTATTATTATTATTATTATTATTATTATTATTATTATTATTATTATTATTATTATCGTTTCCCAAATCAGCTGATTGAAATCTACATGAAGATCCATTAATTTTGGACATTGTCTGATGCCACTCGAATAAATTGCGTAGTTGTCAAATTAGGTATGCCTGAGGCTCCATGGTAGTCCACAGTGCCTACGAGACCGAAGGCAGACGTTGTTATGAGTGCCCGGGCTCTCCTTTTAGACAACGTTCAAATTCTTTCTCATTTTGAAGCACTTTTAGGAATTATTTAATAAAGCTTTTCAAAAGAACACAACAGAGACATTGAAGCATAATTGGGGCAAGAAAACAAAAGAGTGAGTTTTAAGGCAAAAATACAGCACATCAAAACTCAGAAGGCTTGTAATTATCATAGTCATTGTACTTATTATTACTTCTTTGTTCGATTGCTCTTATTAATTGTATTTAATTTGAGTGTAATAAAATATAACTAGTTTATAATCATTTATTTCTGGTTCTTAGTTAAGAGACAAATATTTTTTATAAGCATAAGTGCCTTGCTTTCGATGACTGTGGGTACATGGTTCAAGCTTTGACTTTTTTTTTTTGGAAATTGGATTCTTCTGTGCTATCCTTCATCACTCTTTCGACATTTCTCCTTCTCTTTTGATGCGCATTGACCAGTTGCTTTGACTTTTTTTTTGGGAACTTTTTAGTTTTGTTATACAAGAATAGTTATCTGGCTGATTTTTGTAACAACAAAAACTATTATGCTTCCCATTTCTCATTGCCTTTCCTAACTTCTAACTTTCAGCCGTTTGATGGATCCATTGACCACAGATCTGCGTAATCTGAATGCTTTAGCAAAGGTAATTTTTTTGGTTATTATGCAATCATTTTTCTTGAAAAAGTGAATGGTTAACCCTATAATTTGTAGATAATGAGGCAAAAACGCATTGAGAGAGGAGCCTTAACGCTTGCTTCTGCTGAAGTCAAATTTCAAATCGATACTGAAACTCATGATCCCCTTGATATCGGTATGTCACTCCTTTTCACTATCAGACTACAGTGAAATTATTTACAGCTAGATTTCTTTTCGTCTGCATTTTCTGAAAATAATGTAGTAAAGAGTTTCTTCTGGGACTTAAAAACTTCATATGGCAACTATTGACTAAGAAAATATGCTTTAGCTACTGTGATTAGTGATGCAGTGATTGTCAAGTATCTTCCACTTTTAAAACATGTAGATGAATTTGTTTGGTGTGGGTGGGTAATTATAAGCTTTTTCAGTCCCTGCTTCCCTTTTATTTATTGTACCGACTGCTTCCCTTTTTTCAGTCCCTGCTTCCCTTTTTTCAGTCCCTGCTTCCCTTTTATAGAGTTCGTTGGCTCCAATTTGTGTTTGAGCAACAAGTTTTCAACACCTGTTAAGTTTTGAGCTTTATCATATTACACAAAAAGATAATAGAGGTATAATATGGGTTTCTCTAGGTTTCTTCTCTTTTGGTTTCTCTTGCATTTATTGGAAATGACCTGGTGATCTCTACGATCTTTTTCAGTATGGTTATGTATGTTTTTATTAACAGGTATGTATCAAATTCGAGAAGCGAACCAGATGATTGAAGAGTTCATGCTTGCTGCTAATATATCAGTTGCTAAGAAAATTTTGGAACATTTTCCCCTCACCTCGCTGTTAAGGTACTACATTAGGCTCTCTTCACAAACTGTACAGATTGCTCGTTTTGCGTAATCACTAGCTATCTTTTTATCAGATAGTATTTGACTCTTCCATTGGGATTTTTATTTTTTAAATCTTAAGTTAATCTATATCACATGCAGACGGCATCCAAGCCCCACTAAAGAGATGCTTGAACCTTTACTTCGAACTGCTGCTGCTGTTGGTATCTGTTTGGATGTGACGTCTTCGAAAGCACTCGCTGATTCACTTGATCATGCGGTGGTTAGTTGTCCTTCAAGTTTATCCCACTGAGTGGCACGTGCATGTCTAGTTTATCAGTAGAAAAAAAAAAAATAGAATCCCATTGGTTTTAGTATTCTCAATCATAGAAAAGAATATATATTCTTCTCATGTGCCAGAATTTGAAAGCTTGGTTAAGCAATTTTCTATAGGATAATACTTTTTAACAGTTAATAATGATCTTATGGGCTTGGCTTGGCTTGGCTTGTAGGGAATGCTAGTTTATATTCTGGAACTTGTCTGCTAGGAACAAATTTAAATTATGGGTCACTTTGTTTCTCTTTCCTAAGGAGATTAAGACTTCTAAGGGTTCTAACCAGTATCATTATGATGCAGACTGATGTGACTATTACGAAAATTTCAGAGATAAATTTCCTTTTCAGTAGATGTTTTAGGTGAAGTAAAAATTCTTTCAGATGATATATTAACTAATTGTCTTAGCAGTCTCACTGTGCCATCTATTTGTCTAGTTGTTTCATGCATTACTTTAATAGTTACCTGTCTGATTTTCTTCCTTCCCCCTGCCTCCTCCTAAAATAGGGTGATGATCCGTACTTCAATAAACTTATTCGCATTCTGGCGACAAGATGCATGACACAGGTGTCTAAAATCTCTTTAGCTTATTGAATATTCTATTCTGCAATGTTTGCGGAGATTTTTTTTTTAATTATTATTATTATTATTATTTTCTGTTAACGTGTTTATTATTATTATTACTATTATTATTATTATTATTATTATTATTATTATTATTGTTATTTTCTGTTAACGTGTTATCAGGCTGTGTACTTTTGTAGTGGAGATCTCAGCCCTCCAGAGTTTTCTCATTATGGTCTTGCTGCTCCCTTGTACACACATTTCACTTCTCCTATACGAAGATATGCTGGTAAGTTAAGATATTGGTCATTTTGTTCAATTTATGCCATGATATTAACCATAATGATCCTGGAAAGTTTCTTGCAGATGTAATCGTGCACCGATTGCTTGCTGCATCTTTGGGAATATCTAAGCTTCCAGATATATTCCAAGAAAGACCTCGACTAACGTGTATTGCTGACAGTGAGGACTTCAACTTATTACATTTTCATTCATATTTGTTTTTGTTTTATGATCACTCTGGCTATTTTTCAACCTCGAGTTTGATACAATCTCATCGACTGTTTCCAGTTTGAGTATAGAAGATGATACTTATGCCTTGACATTACAGTTGGGCAAATGTTTGCATTTCATGCCTAAGGTTTAGTGTCAGAAAATGTGAATTGGAATCCATCTGTAAATATATATTAGCATTTCTTTACACGTGACGTGCGGTTATTTTTACTATGGTGTTTTTATTATTCAGTGTAACAGCTATTGATGCAAGTTTGGTTACATGTATGTTTCCACTGCAGATTTGAATTATCGCCACAAGAATGCTCAGATGGCTAGTCGGGCATCAGTTGAGCTCCATACGCTCATTTACTTCAGAAAAAGGTTACAATAACTCTCTCTCTCTTTCTCTCCCTCTCTCTCTCTCTCTCTCTCTCTCTCTGTGTGTGTGTGTGTCTCATGATTTTGTTCTTTTGTAGGCCTACTGATACCGAGGCGCGAATATTGAAAATAAGATCAAATGGCTTCATTGTTTTTGTACCCAAGTAAGATTTTGCTATTACCATTAATTTCTGCGTATTTCCCTTTCGGTATTGTCAGGACACAATTGTTTCAGTTAAGGTTATTTTTATGTGTACTATCTGCCACCATGTAAACAGAACTTGATGCCTAATTAATTCGCCAAAGTTCTCAGTAAACGTAATTAAGCTTATATCTTTGACAGCGAAAATGGTGATTGGGTAGTAGCACCCGAAAACAAAACCTTGACATCATTTTAATTTCTCTATTTAATAAAACGTAATTAAGCTTTCAGTATAAACGTATCGTACCTTTAAGTTTGTGCACGTACGTACTGTTCAGGTATGGAATTGAAGGACCTGTATATTTGGTGGCGAGAGGTGAGAAGGCAGGGGAATGGACGATTGACGAGCAGCAACAAAAGATTAAGAAGATTAATGGTGACGTCTCGTATGGTATTCTGCAGACTGTGAGAATTCACATGGAGGTGGTAGAGCCATACCCAAACAGGCCAAAGCTTGAGCTTACACTCATCTAAACATTTTGCCCTGTGTTTTATCATGATTTCATTGCAACTTACAAACAGTAATATCATTGTTTTGTTTCTGGAATCTATTTGCTTGTATAGTATTTGCTAGGTGAACTTGACTTGTAACTGCTCAATGAGAGAATTTTATTGTAACAGGAATATAAACCAACTTATTGCATTATATGTATGTCTTTATTTGTTGCTATTAATTATGAAGTGCATTATAATTAATTATTGCCTTTTAAATGATTTTTTTTTAGGTATTATTGATGATTATGATGTAGAACCGTAAAACTATGAACCCAACAGTTGACTCCATAGTGGAGCCAATCTTCTATATACAAGTAAATCATACCACATTCTCTAATTACTTAAATAAATACTAATAATTTTATTAATCATTACTACTCAATTAATAATTATTATTTAAATAAGAATCCTTTTCACTTTTATATACTTTTTATGTTTTTTCAATTCTGCCATTAAAAATTAATAAATGTAAGGACATTTTAGTCCTTACATTTTTTTTTGTTTATATTAGTATATTAATATATTATATAGTATAGATATATAGATATAGAATAAATATAGATCGATATGAAATTTGCCGTGCACCCAACCACCTTCAACAGGAATCATAGAGAAATGATCGAATCTTAAGACGCTCTGAAAATACTACGAGGTACTCTGAAATGGTTGAAGTATTGTTCCCATAAATAAATTGTGCATATTATCACACTTTTGTTTTCAAGAAATTTCATATAGCAATCACACAGTTTGAGAATGTGATTCTGTTAGCAAATTGGTCATTTTGGATGGTTTCTTTTGACTATAAAATCTTCACAATTCAGTGTACATAGAGAGACAACAGCCCACGACATAATTTATTCTCCCACATCGGATGAGAAGGAAATAATTAAAGACAGAGAATCTAATTCTTCAAAACACCATGCACAACATCAAATGAAAAGTAACACAAAGCAAGACAATTTTTGGTAAAGAAAAAATTCTTTCTACCTTGTTGATTATAAATTCTTTCATTTCCATGCAACTCCAAAACACACACACACACAGAGAGAGAGAGAGAGAGAGAGAGAGAGAGAGA